TTACAAGACTAACTTATTAAAGGCCATTAAACATAATTTAGCCATAAAAGTCAGCCCGGTGACTTCCCCCTCTCTCTTATTGGAACCTCCTCCGGTCCCGTCTTGAGGGTGCAGCATCATTGCAGCAGCCCGGCAGCAAGTGTGTTTGTAGCCACAGCCGTTGCTGCTGCTTATAGCTTATTAAAGTCAAATTCATTCTCTATTATCCAGAATCAGCCCTCATATAGTTTTTTCAGGCCTACAGCTTTTGTAACGTTTTTTATTGCTTGGCTGATGATATAAATAAATGAAGAATAGACAAATTGTTTATTATTGTTCATTTATTTGTTATTATCTGACGATCAACTAATCGTTTGTCGTTTTTTAAAAGCAAAAATGTGCTTCTAGAATGTGAGAATGTTCTCTTCATCACACTTGATTATTACCGTGAGTGTCTTTGGGCTTTGGACTGTTGGTTGGACAAAATAAGTGATAAAGATGTCTCAGAAAATTGTGATTGTTTTTGTTATTTTCCAACATTTTTTAAGTCAGGTTTCCATCCAAATGTAGCACAAATTTAAACCGAATACTTAATTTGGATCAAAGTAAGGATATGTAAACCTATTTGTAGTGGCACTTCCGAAAATAGCTCTGCATTTGATTCTATATGTTACTGTACTTTGTCAAATTTTCCCACTTTTTCTTTTCATTAAATGTCGCAAAGGGGACTTTATTTGTGTGAATCACAGATGTTGTCTTTGTGAATTACATGGACTACGGGTTCAGGCTGTTCCTAACTTCCACTTACTCACCATTACACCGCACGAGCGTCCGCTAGTAGTATACAAGTGATGTTTAAAGCAGGACATGAAGCTGTGGCGATGAAGGCCTCCCCTTCACCTAGCTCATAAATATTTCAGACTTTCCTTCTGTACTCTCTGTGATGCCTCCCCTGCCGATTTGGAGGCAGAAATCTGGGTCAGATTTATTTTCCAGGAAGCTTAAAATCTTCTAAAATGTGCGTAGACTGACGGTTGAAGATGATCGGTGAACTTATGACTGGAGGACTTTCAGACCGTCTGCACCCGATCCTCAGAGCAGCTGGGAAAACTTGAGTGAGTGTGAAGCCTCCGTCCTCCCGAATGAAAAAAAGGAAAGGAAAGGAAGAGAAGAGAAGAGAAGGAACTAAAAGATGGAAAGTTGTATTCAGAGTGAATCTTGCCCTTGGTGTTTTTCAGCATGTCACAGTTTCTGTTTCTTTGAACTGAAACGTCTCTGTTTGTCTGCTAAGTCACCACAGACCTCATGCTAAGCCATGTGATCCATCGCGCACACACACACACACACACACACACACACAGTGATTAATCGTATTGAACTTATTCCAATCTCATCAAGTTGATTTCTTCCCCTGCGTTCATTTCATTTTCCACAGCCCCTGCAGCCCGATAACTTGACAGCACTTGGCTGTACTTTGTGTTTAGTGCTACTTTAATTAGCAAATGTTAGCGTGCCAACAAGCTGTGATGGTAACGTGTGGACATTGCCCGCTAAACTGATGTTCAGCGAGCTCCTTACCCTATCTCTAAGGCTGAGCCCGGCCACCCTATGGAGGAAACTCATTTCGGCCGCTTGTAGCCGTGACCTTGTCCTTTCGGTCACGACTCAGAGTTCGTGACCATAGGTGAGGGTAGGAACGTGTTAGCGTGTTAGCATCGACACTGTTCAAAGTGACGCCGTGCCTACACACAGCCTCACAGGACCGCTAGCATGGCTACTAGCCTATAGTATGTTATCGTGCAAACATTTTCTTATTAGGACTGAACATGAATGGAATGTTCGGATCGAGACCTCCAGCATTCACTGGGGCGGTTTGCAGCCGAGTGTGAAGCGGCGGGGATGAGAGTTAGCACCTCCAAATCTGAGGCCATGGTGCTCTGCCGGAAACCGGTGGATTGCTCCCTCCAGGTGGGGACGGAGTGCCTACCGCAAGCGAAGGAGTTAAAGTATCTCGGGGTCTTGTTCACGAGTGAGGGTAAGATGGAGCGGGAGATCGACAGACGGATCGGTGCGGCTGCAGCAGTAAAGCAGGCGCTGCACCGGACCGTCTTGGTGAAGAGGGAGCTGAGCCGGAAGGCAAAGCTCTCAATTTACTGGTCGGTCTACGTTCCTACCCTCACCTATGGTCACGAACTCTGGGTCGTGACCGAAAGGACAAGGTCGCGGCTACAAGCGGCCGAAATGAGCTTCCTCCGTAGGGTGGCCGTGCTCAGCCTTAGAGATAGGGTAAGGAGCTCGGTCATCAGGAGCTAACTTGGAGTCGAGCCGCTACTCCTTCGCGTCGAAAGGAGTCAGCTGAGGTGGTTCGGGCATCTAATTAGGATGCCTCCTGGACGCCTCCCACTGGAGGTTTTCCAGGCACGTCCAACTGGGAGGAGACCCCGGGGAAGACCCAGAACACGCTGGAGGGATTATATCTCCCAGCTGGCCTGGGAACGCCTCGGGATCCCCCAGAATGAGCTGGAAAATGTTGCGGGTGAGAGGGAAGTCTGGGTCAGCCTGCTTGGCCTGCTGCCACCGCGACCCGACCCCGGATAAGCGGAGGAAAATGGATGGATGGATGGATGAATGGAATGTCATTAGCTTGTGCAAAAGTATTGGAGAAGTAAAGATTTGGCTTGCTGCCGAAGTTATGAGTTCATCCTTAAAATTTCCAGTGAAACGCGAGTTAGAATGCCTTTAGCTTCTGTACTCTGACGTATTTCAGACTTTAGAGTGATACGGAGAGGACTACCTCACCTGCTGTTAAACTAGGAGGATGAGAGAGATATAAAACGGTAACCCTGCAGCGTGGTGCAGTAGATGCAGATAAACGGTCCGTGTCGGTCTTCGTAGCTATACCTATGAAAAATAATGCACCATAATTCGTAGATCTCCCACAAAATCATTGTATGTCGTCCACGTTATCATGTACGAGGAAGTACAAAGTAGTACGCTGTTCGTCAACGCTGATTTATTCATCACGTAACTTCCGTAGTTATTCTAACCCAAATCCTGATCTTTTCATAAACCTAACCAGGTAGTTTTATTGCCTAAACCTAACTATGTTATTTCCCGTGAAGACGGAGGTTTATTTTGAAAAGACTGCATGCGTGTAACGAGCAGACATTGAGGCGTGTCGCTGGAATTTCGTAGGAAACCGTGCGAAAAATAAAGAGTGACTTTTTTTGGTAAGATATCATACCAATACCTCCCTCGAATGCCCTCAGTGCCCGAGATCAACCGGTCGCTTCACGCCATCTTACGGACGTTCCGGTTGACAATCAGCCGAAAGGTTTTCGCCCGCTGATATCCACTCACCTCCCTCGTATCTCTCCCCGTATTGCTTTGTTAGCTGCTACGATACACAAACAGGGAAGTGCAGCTTTATATGACGAGAAAAACAAACATATGTCACATATGTTGCAGAGACTGCTTACATTTGCATTTGGCAGTGTGCTTGCACACATCATAAATCCCTGAAGGGTCTATCATTTGCTCTGCCTCCATCTTTTTTCTCTCTACATCGCCGTTTCATTCGCTCTCCGGCCCACCCCCACCCCCTGTTTGTCTGTGCCTGCCCAATGAATCAGTATGGCTGGCTGTGGGTTGCTGCCAGGGAGCCGGTGAGAGTGATTAGTCACGTCGAACTGGGCCAGGATCTGGACGGCCCGAGCTGACGACAGGAAAGAAGAGATTCTGGAAGATTCCACCTAAGCTGCAGCTGCACCCTTCTCTTTTTTCTTTACTTTTTCTTTTTGCATTTTATTTAAACGGTTTCAGTGGAAAGACAGACTTGGAGAGAGGGGGGGGGGGGAGGTGTAAAAGGGACACGAAAAAAAGTCCCAGACCAGATTCTAACACAGTACACCTGTTATCCAGATGAGCCACCACGATGGTCCAACATCTGTCCTTCCTGTTTGTCCAGAAAAAGAGCACGTGTTTGTGGGTTATGAGTGCGTGTTGCCTCTTAGGCTACAAATATTTGTGTGTACAGTTTGTGTGCATGTGTTTTTACCAATACGTTCTCACTCCCAACTCAGCAGCTTGGTCAGTGGGCCCGAAGCTTCAAACTAGGACGCTCCACGTACTCCCTGTAGTGTCAGTTTCAGACGTGTCAGTTTCAGCTGCTGACATGCACACGCCTTTCAAATTGAACTTCTGTGTTCACAGAAAGAACTTGCTTAGGTTTAGGCAACAGAAATACTTGCTAAGGTTTCGAAAAAAGGTCAAAGTTTGAGTTCAAATGAAATGAAAATGAAACTGTTGGATCACAGCTGATGGAACCTGAGTCAAGTTTTAAGAAATGAGTTTTGCTGTAAATCCAAGATCAAAGCATAGTCAACAACACAGCCTTCAGAAAAAAAACAGGGAAAAGTACCCTCTTTGTTTCTTACAACAAAAACAAGTGAGACAAGGAACTTTACAATGATTGATACGCTACTTCAGAACATTAAGTCTTAAAGTTGACATTGAGCATGAATCTAAAACGCATGGGTTTCAAGAGCGTCAGCAGCATGTGTGTTTATATAGTAGCACACCAACATCCATGTTCGGCTGACTCCCCTCCTTTGATCCCGCTGTCACGGTAGGCGCGTGTCGCTTCGGGCCCATCGGGCGGTTGTTTTGCGGCGGCATCGAAGCAGCGGCGCTCCCCGAGCCAATGGGCTTCTTTGTTTGTGTGCGCTGGCTAATGGGCTGGTCCTATGCAGCTGTTCAACACATGCAGAACATGTGGCTTGGGTCCGCATGACTGTGTGTGCATGCATACATATATGTGTGTGTGTGTAGGTGTGTGTGTGTGTGTGTGTGTGTGTGTGTGACTGGTGCCAAACCTGGTTCTGGTTTTTAGTTTTTTTTCCATCCCTCCCCCTCTTCCTCGTCTTATCTTTCCACACTTTTCTTGCTCTCTCTCTCTCCTCTCTCTGTCTCTCTCTGTCTCTCTCTCTCTCTCTCTCTCTCTCTCTCTCTCTGTCTCTTCCTCTTACTGGAGCCATCGCCATAGCAACAAGCACAGTGCCGAGGCCGGGAAATTTCTGGATCCCCGATTCATATTCCGATTCATCACCGCGGGGTCCAGTCGGACACTTAAACCCAGCTCTGTGTGTGTGTGTGTGTTATCATGGGATTACGCTATAATCTGACAATACGGATTAGCACAGCGGACCCACCGGCCCTCTGGCTATCATACATTCTCTCTGATAGCGATCGTCACCTTCACCGTCACCATCTTTCTTCTCCTGCTTTTTTCATACATTTTTGTTCACCCTTCTCATCTTTCCTCTCGCTCCATTCTTTCATGCCCCCCCCCCCTCCTCATACATCCCTCTTTTCATCCCTTTCATCTCCGTACCCATCATCCATCCCTTTTTCCTCTCCCCCTCCTCCCGATCTCTCCTCACGCCTCCCCATTCGGCTTTTACCTTCCCTCCGCTCGCCTTATTTACCTTTTCCAGTTTCACTCTCCTCCCGCTCTTCCTCCTGTCTGTCTTTCTTTGCCCCCCCCCCCCCTCCCCCCTCCTCTCATCTCTCGTTCATCCAAATCTCTCGCTTAACTCTCATGGGATCGGAGAGGAGAAATTCTATTTCACACGCCTCTTTTTTTTCCTTTTTTCTTTCCCAATCACTCTTGATCTCCTGTCTGCATCATCTCTTTTCCATTTCTTTCTTCTCTCTCCTCCCTCTGCACCCCCACCCCAGTCAGCCCAGTGGGGGAACCCCGAGCCCCCCCCTCCTGCATGCTACTATGGTTGCAGGGCCGAGTGCCAACATCGGGGGGGGGGGGACTAGTTTGAGTTCAGTTCAGAGCAGTGGTTGACTCTTTCATTCTTTAGCTCTTTCTGCTGAGTTTGTGGCATAGCAGGTCCACGGATGTTAAAAATGACGGGTTTCTGTTCTGAACGTGAATTCTTTAATTAATACTGGACAGGATTGCTAATACAATCAGTCCATTCATTGATAAGTCAATAAACAAAATAATAATAGGCAACTATTCCAGTCATTGATCGTTTAATCGTTTGGATCCGGCTCCTCGGATGTGAGGATTTGTATTTTAAATGTCATATTCGTGTGATTTAGAAGTTGAAGTGGACAAAACCACAAGTTTAAAATGGCACTTTGAGCTCTGGGAATTTTCATTTTTTCGCAATTATTTTGACAATTCATTCAATTTTAAATTGAAAATTGTTACTCGCAGCCCCCATATATACACTGTAGAAACCTTGATTTCCTGTTTCATTTTCAACCTTTTCATAGTTTTATCAGCTTCTGATCTTTGGTTTGGTTTATGAATTAATTTAAAAGTAGTTAGAAGCATCAATAAAGAAAGAATATTAGAACCCTATTGTCATCAAATGTAGTCGATTAACGGCGGGTGAGGACGTGTCGGACCGTGGCGGTGAAGAATGAGCCGAGCCACAAAGCTCGACCGCCGCGAGTATTTCCTCCACGAGGAGCTTCAGTGACCTGAGAGGACCTCGGTATCGAGCAGCGGCTCCCTCACACTGGGAGGAGCCGGTTGAGGCGGAGGTTGGGGTACGGCGTAAGAATGCCGCCTCCCGCTGCAGGTGTTATCTTTTATTTTTTCAAGTGAGGCTGTAAAACTCTGTGGGAAACCCTGGAGTGGGCGGGAGGGGAGGGGAGGATTTTGGGTATCCTCCGGGAAACCTGGAGGAGGTAACAGAAGTAACTACAGAAGGACACTGACCCTGGGTAAATAGATAGATGATGGATGAATGGATAGACCAGACATACGTATATGCTAGAAAAGTACCCTCAGTAGTAAGGTCTCCCTCTCCAATCCAAAACAACAAATAATTGTCCTTCCAGGCTCCCTTACAGTCAAGATGGCGGCGAAGATAACAAAAAACAGGGATTTATTAATGTCGCGCCATGCCTGTTTTTAGAGAATCGTAATTTATCGGCCTCAACAAAGGCCAAAATGTGTCCTTCAACAGACTCGGTAATGCTTGTTCTCAGCCCAGCCGATTAGCGGAAATGCCTTTTGCTGCTGAAGCAGTTGTAGATCACTGTGAGTGACGAGTCAGCAGTCAGTGACGGAGTAAATCAGTCGATAATAAAATAGCTTTTTCATAAATTGCAAATCACCCCAACCACAAAAAGTCCTTAAATGAGCACGGAAAATATCAGGATGATGAGTCCAGTGGTATGCGAGATTAGTCGAGGACAGACAGACAGATACTCACACACGACCGAACACATGATCTCCATAATAAACGGAGAGGGGATTAAAGAAGACACAATTCAAGATTCTCATACTGCAATAAGTGATTGTTGTACATGAAATGGGCAATCCACTGATCGTACACATAACATCATATTATTCAGATGTTCAGAACTTCATTATCGTGAAGGAAATATCTTGTTTCAAATGTTAAAAAATGATCCATCATACAGAGAATCGGTGCAGAGCTGCTCTATCGACACCAGACAGACAGTAGCTGCAGACACAGGTACAATAAGGCTATTGTTCTCTGTGTAACTCGACCACATACACATGGCTGTGGTCCTCAAAGCCTTTCTTTCTCCCTTCATGTCACACACACACACACTCACACACACACACACACACACATGCAGTGCAATTAGTTTTGCCAAACTAGTAAAATCACGTCCGTGCACTCTCTGCACACACAAAAAAGAGCTATCGACGGCTCTGTTATGACAATCACACACACACACACACACACACACACACACTTTCTCTCTGTCAGTCCAAAGCTTTCCATTGGTTAGTTATGTGTCTGAATGAATAGGCGAGGTTACAAAGAGACATTTGATCGGTTGACAGTCCAGAGAGAGGAGCATGAAAGAACGAGAGCGCTTGGGAGCCTGGTTTCAAAGACCCGTGAGCTGTTTTTAAACTCAGGATATCGGTTTAAAAGCCGGCTTCCTTAACTTTCATGAGAAAGTTGGCAATTAGTCTTCTTTAAAAAAGCTGTAGTTGTTATGTAACTTACATACTTAACTAACGCCACCTACATAATTAACAAACGTACTTATTACAACCCAAGCCACGATGTTTTCCTAAACCTAACCAAGTAGTTTTGCTGCCTAAACCGAGCCAATTAAGCTAAAACTAAGTAAACCTACGTTGGAAGTTTATTTTGAAAAGATGCTGCATGCATGTAACGAGACGGAACTGACATGCCCAAAACTGACCCTAGAGTCGTACCTGTAGCGTCATAGTCGTTATTTGGCGTAAGACTGTTTTGGCAATTACCGCTTATCGCCATAGGTGGCACCAAAGACATGAAGCAGAGGTCTTCGAGACTGTAACTGGTAGTCGGAGAGTTGTGCGCTCAGTGGAGGGGAAACAGAACTGTACTTGTGATACTTTTTTTTTTTTTCTCCTCCTCTAACCGTGTGACTCGACATGTAACTCTCTCCTAGGGTTAATCTATAGTAGTAAATTAGGGGGCCGCTGCTGACGCTGCATGATATCAGTTCATTACATGCCCCAGTGGACTGTACATACAGTATGCTCAGAGCCTATCACAGCCTCCTTTCCTCCCCTCCCCTCCCCTCTCCTCACGATTCAAGTTTTTAGACGTCATTATTGTTATTAATTTCAATTTGCCTCTCATTTACGAGCATTATCGCATGTATATCTTACACATAAGAGCTCTAAAACTTTTTGCTATTCACTTCTCAGCTGTAACAAAAGAAACAACACCTGCACTGTGAATGTTACACTGGACACTTTTTTCGAGCAATGGAAGCCTTAACAACAGAGACATGGAATTGGTTAATATTGATGTGGGAAAGAGACCTACATCAACCACTGAGCAAGAGCTTTAAAGTACCTGTATATGTGTACTCAGCATGTTTGACGGATATCTACATGCTTCTTTTTTTTTGCATTGAGTATATGAGAGTGAGACAGATAATGGAGGTAGAGAGAGAGAGAGCAGTAGGCTTAGACTTCTGTCTGTTGGATCAGGTTCAGACCAGGGAGGGTTGGTGGGTCAGTGTCTGTGGGATTGGCTTCCTGTGATTGTAAATCTATCCCCTTGCTCTGTAATGGATGTGTGTGTCTGTGTATGTGTGTGTGTGTGTGTGAGGGAGAGATCAGGGCGTGTCGTTAAAAGATTTCAGACATCAAACTTGACCTGTTTATTTTCTCTTTCATGTCTTATACTTCCCCTGTTCCCCAGTATGTTTTATCAGCTTTTTAGTTTTTTTAAGACGTCTTCCTGTTTTCTCATCTGCTTCCATTTTATTTTGCTGTTTGCTGTTATTGCAGATTCAACACTAAATCCTGATATGTTTACCTGCTGTCCATATAGATTCAGTATAAAGTAAATTCCTCGTCACCACTCAGCTGCCCTGAGTTTCTTTTCTTTAATAGAAATACTGTTTTCATTCAGTAGTTACGTCTCCTAAAAAACCTTAACCTTGTTTATTTTACTAAGATCCGACTAGGATCAAAACATTGTCTACTTAAATACATCATTTTTGTGATTAGGAGTCAGAGTGCGGGCATTAGCCTTCCTCGATACTGCTATCCGATAATGTGTTGAATTTTAACTGGAATGTCGAATAAACCCCACCAACCTCTATCGGTGGACATGTTGCTGCAGTGTTTGAATGCGCAAAATACCGTCGTTATCAACTGGCATAGCTAACGGTGGCTAACCTGGCAACTGGAACGCAGTTAACTGGGGTTAACAGCTCCGATTTCCGATTTCTGAGGTAAACAGAATCACGTGAGCCGCTATGGCAATTCCTTTTCCCTTCAATGTTTTTTTTACCCAGACTCTGCTGTACTTTGTGTTCAGTGCTAATTAGCATATGTTAGCATGCTAACTTGCTAAACTAAGATGGTCGAAGCTGGTAAACGTCATACCCGCTATGTGATAATCAGCATGTTAGCATTGTCAGTGTGAACATGGCGACGTTAGCCTCCAAACACCGCTTTGTCTGAGTACAACCTAACAGAGCTGTACCTCTCTGCATGTCCTACCCGAAGTGTCTCTCTATCCCTCCCTTCTAACCTAATTTCTACTCTTTGAGACTTTTTGCCAAATTTCAGCTTTTTTTTTCATTTTTAGGTCATATTTTTAGGGTGAAACGTCACATCAGAGGGTCTCAACAGTTCCGTACGTACAGCTTTTTAAAACATCACCGCCAGTCAGAATGCCAGACTTATGTTAATTCGCCGTAGTTGAAATAGTCTCAAAGACACTTGCAATATTGAATTATTGATGTTTAAATGCAACACGTGGCGGCTTCAATAAAGCATCAATATGGAGTCGATCCGTCTGTGACCGACTTTCATCTCCACTTCTCTTCTCATCTTCTGCCCTTTCCTCCTTTCCTTCATCCACGTCCTCCTCCATCCCTTCTTCCTTCCTCCTCTTTTCCCAGCAGTCGGACAGAAATAACCCCGCTGTGTGTGTGTGTGTGTGTGTGTACCAGTAGTCAACTGGAATAGATCCATACCAGGACCTCACTGTATGTGTGTGTGTTGCAGTACAGCTCATCACACACACACAGGCAGGGTAAGGCTTTCTCCGTTAGAGAACCTGACATTTACACTCTGAGACTGATGCACCATCTTGCACATCAAAGCCCTCCTAAACTTGGCCTTTCTCCCTCCTTCCTCTCTCACTCGCTCGCTCTCCCACATTCATTTTTCTGTTAATTTTAACACCAGACATAGGCTATTTTTAGATGCTTTTTTTTTCAACCTAGAAGGCTATTTTCGTATTAAAATATTCAGGTAAATTGCTGTTCTTTGATTTCTTGGTGTGTCTACACTGTTGTTTTGCTGTTACATAATCTATCACCTCTTGTCTCCTCAAAGCGGCTCATGAGAAAAGAAAACAGCAACATTACCAACCTCAGGGGTCTTATATGTTCACTGTGTCGCAATTACTTTGTAGAAATCTTTGTATTATCTCATATATATAAACATTCTTTTTAAATTTTGCTACTAATAAATGATAAGAGCAACTCTTGCGATGTAACAAATAAAATTGAATATATCCACATTTAAATAAACTGATATAAAGACAGAATATAATGGAACGCCGGCTATAATCTGCTATGTGCTCTGTACATGATGGCCATTTAAACTCAACAGGATATATTCACCGTTCACCCCCGTTCACAGCGACTGGGGGTAACATGGGGGGTCAACTGGGGTTGATTTTTGCCCAAGGACCCTTTAGTGGGTTAATCCAGCCCTGCTACTGTGTCATTACATTTTTGTTTCTCTATCTATTGAGCCAACACTGACACAGCCAAAGAGGAAATTACGCATTATTTATTTTACAATAAAAACCTGAATCCATAAGCAATGAACACGCCTTTGCTCAATTCAATACACTACAGGTTTACTTGGTCTGGTATGACCAATACCTCGTGGTGGCTTTGAAGTTACCTAATGTTCGCAAACTTTAGATAAACAGTGTTGTATTGCTGAGTCTGTTGATGACTTTATAACTCATCTTATCTCTACCTGTGCCTCTGTTAAGCTACATCGTAGCATTTATGATTCAATATGATTCAGAATGTTTATCAAAGGACTTGTTGATGAATGATCAGAACAATTAACCTGTAAGTGTAACCAGTCTGTCCATCCGTTTGTCCTAGGTAAAAGTGTAATGCTTACAACAACAAAAGAGTTATGTTACCTAACTCAAGAATTTGTATAATGAGAGTTCTAAATGTCATTTAAGGTAACGCTATATGCATTAAGTCCATACCCTCATTAGACTTAATAGCTCACTTTGGAAAACATCTAATTTTCCAGCCCCACGCCTGACTGATTGATTCAACTTTAATAACCTGCTTTCCTATCCAAGTGCAATGCTAAAATATTTGATTAATTTCACGCTGGGAGAATCAATATGCAAAGATATAACCCCTGCGCGCACAGGCGTGGCTGTCATTTGTGTCTTTGATAATTATGTGAGTGCACCGGCAGAGTAATTTACTGCTGGGTAATTGATCTGCACAATAATAATCGGAGACACAAAGCGGCGAGACTCATTTTTGCTTCCACGCACATCCACACACACACACACACACACACACACATGCACGCACACTTGTACACATCCACACACACACACACACAGACTCCAGTGTTGAATCAGTGCAGCCAGCCTAGTTTATGAGCTATATTAGGACTCAGATATGAGAGTCCCTCTCTGCTGAATTCGACGCTCTGCTAGTTCAGGGGCCGCTGATGTCAGTATCCCGTGTAGGAGAATGTGTGTGTGTGTGTGTGTGTGTGTGTATGTGTGTGTGTGTGTGTCCCGAACAGCGATTGTCCAATCATAGCTTAGCGACTGTCAAGATTTGGATTTCCCAAAATACTAAAAACTGAACCCGTCTGCATGGTGCTGCCATAAAAGAGATACGTGGCATTCAAAGAGTTTACAGGGGATGTCTTTTTTAAAGGTTTTCCGAAACCAAAAACACAAAATCCATTTATCTGCTTCAACATATGCTACAATTGTTAGCATGTCCAGCTAACTAGCTTTGTGCAGTAGTAACCTAGCGTTATTCCCAGCCAAAGAGCATATAGTGGAAGAGATTTGTGACAATTTTCAGTCAACGGTAGCTCCGACCGGTAACGTGATCGATGCAGTCATGTGGTATTGCTTGAGTTTGCTTCAGTGTGAACAGTAAACTTAATCGTTAATTTAGTACGCAGTACAGCATACATACATACAGACTGATGCAGTATGCTAGCATGCCATTTCGAACATGACGAAAACGACGGTCATCAGCTCAAATTGAGGAGCCCCCGCTTGTCTACCTCTGTCTGAAATAAAGGAGACATTTGTTTCAGGCGGTAGATCTGCCACCGTTAGCTCCCGCTCGAGAACGGAAAGCGTAGCAACAGTAGCTAAGTGGGGCGGGGCTTTGCACGCGTGTTTGCAGTTTTTGTGAACCTGCATCAGTGCTAGGTCATACTTGCATCACTAGTTTATTATGTTTGGATTGTTATGTGTGTGTGTGTGTGTGTGTGTGTGTGTGTGTGTGTATGTGTACACACCCAGTGTTGGCTGTTTTCCAGAGCCAACTTTCCTCCTGAAAGCGGGAGATAACACAGCACTGCTCGGAAAGGGAGTAAGAGGATGACAGAGGGGGGGAGGCGATAATGCAACTGTGGGATGGGAGTTTATAGGCCAACAGGGATGGAGGGTGAGAATAGGGGGGGTGGGGGGGAGAGTAAAAGAAGGAGAAGAAAAGGGGGTGTAGTAGGAGAGATAGCAGGAGACGATTAAAAAGAGGGAGAAGAGGGTGTGATGAGAGCGGCATGGAGGATGTGAGCTAGAGTGAGTGGAGGACTCTTGGTAGAAGAGGGAGGAGGAGGAGGAGTAGTAGGTGGTGGTGTGCAGGGGGTGGTGGTGGTGGTGGTGGTGTTCATTATGAGTCATGCCCAGGGAGGCTGAGTGCCGCTGGGGAAACAGCTCACTGACAGTCCCAGGCATCTAAAGGCCTTCTGGAGCTTCTCATAATGTGTGTGATGTCATCAGGGAGAAGAGGGACAGACAGACGGATAGAGGTCAAAGTAAAACTAGGACACAACAGCTCCTCTCCTCTCCTCTCCTCTCCTCTCCTCCCAGCCCTTGCCCTATATTGCGTAGGGGCAGTTTTACTGCAGCATTGCAAGTCCAGAGAAATCCCTCTACACACACACACACACACACACCTTGTTCCGCTTTATTAATGCCCCAAGGCTAACTAAGCTTTACGTCAAAGGTCGTACATGTTCTTTTTTTTTTTGTTTTAATCTCTCTCCATCTCTATCTTTGTCTTTCCATCTCCCTCTACCTCTCTATTTCACCTCCCCCTCTCCTCCTCTCAACAGTCTAAATGCAGCGAGCAAATCACAATATTCCATAATAGCCGGAGCCCACGCTGTCGGGTCACAATGGAGGGACGCGAGGGAGAGAGAGGGATGGAGAGTCGAGATGGAAGCGGTACATTGATAGGCGGTGAATAACGGAGTGGAGCGAAATGGAGAATGTGAGGATGAAGATGAGAGGGTGGGGGGGGGATTATGAAGCAGCCGAGTGAGGGTGAGTTGTGTTTGTTGTTGATGCAGCTCTGAGTCTGTTTTCCGACCCAGTGCTGGCTTATTCCTGGCCATGATCACTGCCACACATGTGATGAATTTGTCACCTCTGCCCCCCCCCTTCTCATTTTCACTCCACTCAACCAGCCTGCAGCGTAGCTTTTTATTTTTCATCTACGCTTTTGGTCGCTCTCTATTGATGTCACAAATTAGTTTTCTGTGTCGTTGACATTTTTTTACATTTGTTTTCTCTTCTTTCTCATATCTTGTCTTCTCCCACTGTTACCAGACTTCCCTCACTGGAACGATGGTGGCATTGGTCATTTGTCCAATCATCTCAAAGGAACTCGCTTTGCCAGATAAGGACCTCATGTGGCCGTGCAACTGTCATCTGTCAGAAGACAAAAAATGTGTTAACAATACATTTGTGGTCCATCCATCCATCCATTTTCCTCCGCTTATCCGGGGTCGGGTCGCGGTGGCAACAGGCCAAGCAGGCTGACCCAGACTTCCCTCTCACCGGCAACATGTTCCAGCTCATTCTGGGGGATCCCGAGGCGTTCCCAGGCCAGCTGGGAGATGTAATCCCTCCAGCGTGTTCTGGGTCTTCCCCGGGGTCTCTTCCCAGTTGGACGTGCCTGGAAAACCTCCAGTGGGAGGCGTCCAGGAGGCATCCTAATTAGATGCCCGAACCACCTCAGCTGACTCCTTTCATTTGTGGTCCATCATTTTTAACTAAAAATTACGCAACACAAAATTCATGTTTTTCTAGAACAACATAGTTTCTAAAGGACTGGCGTGGCCCACATTGCTGCAAAATCCTTGTAAATTCGAGATTGGAGTAATGAATGAAAACTGCCTTCACTTGAAGAGAAAGTTTGACATGTTGGAAAACACGCTTGTTCGCTTTATCCCATAGAATGAAATGAGAAGAATACCACTCTTGTATCTGTCCAGCAAATATGAAGTTGCAGCCTGCTAGCTTAGCTTAGCTTAGCTTAGCTGGGCTCAGTTCAAAAGTAACCTGCTTCCTTAATTAACATGTCATATTTCATTTAATCCATACAAAACATGTTTTACTGGAATTATAAATTTTTTTTTTTCATTCAGACAAAGCTTGGCGAACTTTTACTCTCTGTCGCCTGTCGTTATGCTAAGCTAAGCTAGCAAGCTGCTGGCTGTTGCTTCATTTGAACCGAACAGACATGAGAGTGGTATCAATCTTTTCATCTAACTCTCAGCCAAAAAGCGAATAAGTGTATTTTTCTACCATTCTTTTGAAATTGCAGTGTTCTGATTCTATTCGGTCGCTATTCGTTAAATAGCCAGACGTGCTCATTTCATGTTCCAGGCGTCGCTTTAGGACGTTGTTGTTTAGCTTGTAGGTCTTGTCCTCCGTCCTCTCCTTCCTCCTACAGTGTATACTTTATCACTCTGTTGATCCTCTCCTCTTCCTCCTCTTCTCCCTCCCTCCCTACTTCCTCAATGACAAACATGTGGCTCCTGTGATGAAGGAGGCCAGAGAGGGGAACACATAATGATGTCCTGTGACTTAAATGTCCTCCAGTTGTTGACTGTGGAGTACTTCCATGATGTGTGTGTGTGTGTGTGTGTGTGTGTGTGTTTGTGTGTGTGTGTGTGTGTGGTTGCCTCTTGTGTGTGGCAACATATTACGAGACAACCACATGTGTACAGTACATGTGTGGGGATGTTAGTGTGTGTGATCAGAGTCTAAACTTGCCTGTAAATGACAGTTATTTGGTGGCTTTTGGGTGATCAAAGTGGAAACTGCACTCTGATGGTTGGTTAGCCTCACGTCTGAATCGTGTGTGTGTGTGTGTATGTGTGTGTGATGAGGTCATTGTCTGTTCAGTATAGTCATCACAGTGCTGGCCAAAGGTCTGTACTTGAAGAGAGGCCACCGAGTCATTCGTCGCACTCAGCTAATTCACAGCAAAGCCTTGCCAATTAGAAGTAAGTCCGCAGGAGAATACACTTTATAGCACACGCAGTGTAATGTACAAAGTTAATCAATAGATGAAACTAAATGAAACAGCAGTGCTTCCCCTTGGTGGACTGCTTTGGGGCCACCAAACCAAACTCCCCCTCTCCAATGTAACACTTTAAAGTTGCTTTAAAGTGTCTTTATCAGTTTCCCGATATGTTTTTCAGTTACTTTTTTGAAATCCACATGAACAACTCTTCACACCTGCATAAATTAGAGCCACTGCACAGCACTTACTTAAAATGTCACTTTTTAAAACTGCTTCGCCTGTTACTCGCGATATTTCCGTCTTTCTAAACAGTGGTTAGGAACACAAGGAGAAAACAGAAGGAGTTGAGTTTTCATTACAACTAAATTATGATTGGTGCGTTAACTGGATGCCAAATTAATCCAAGCACCCAAGGCCAAATTGGAGTCTGGCTCAGCTATAAAAACCCCAAAACACAGAATCCTTTAGCACATTAGCGCGTCATTCACAACCAAACCTGTTTGTAACCGCTACCGACAGCGTTACCTTCAGTCTGTATGACTCTCCTCTGCTCCAGTCCGTGTTTGTGGAGAGGGAAGAAGCTAAGATCCTCTGTGAAATATGAGAGCAGAGGATATTAATGATTGTGCGAAATTTTAGCTGCGGTGCTCATAATTCTGCAGCGGTGGAATGAATATAGGGGAGATACAGGACAATATGGATACATATGACCATGTGGTTTCTAGCTGTCTTCTGACATCAAATGACCTCATCTAGTAATCCGTCCCCTGCCTTACTCTCGCTGCTTCTTCTGTGTCTCTGCCACAAATACTGAATGTTTCCATGGGATTGTAGGGCTTTACCTTTACTGTGTTCAGTCCGGACAGTGGCACAGTCTACGCTGCACCAGAGCTGCTTAATCTGATGACAATGCAGGTCCTCTCCAGTCCATAGACAGCGGTAGAGCTGCACTATCAACATCACTAGATTTCACTGTGTCCATATTTGCTGCACATATCAATGACCATGAATATAGGCCATCTCATAACCTAATTACTAAAGCCCAAATGATTTCTGAATCTGTGTAACCGCAAGGGTCCGCGTGATGTAGATTTTGTCATCTACAAAGCGCAGACATGAACAGTATATGGGGTAGTAGGGGTTAGAACAGGTGGCGATAGAGTTCCTTGTTGGCGTCCCAACCACTGATCGACGCCAACATCCTGTTTTAAGATTGATATTCAGACATTCAGCGAAGTTCATCCTCAGTGACTTTTCACCGTATTAATATAATCCAACATGGCACTTTGAAATTAGGGACTTCAAATTATATTATATCAGGCGGCAACCTCCGGTTCTGACAAGTGAAGCCAATGCGGAAGTCTCTACAAACTTGCATTCTCTCTACTGACCAGCAGGGGGCGACTCCTCCAGTTCCAAAAATAAGTCTGATTGTATAGAAGTCTATGAGAAACTGACTCTACTTCTCTCTTGATTTATTACCTCAGTAAATATTGTAAACATGAGTTTATGGTCACAATCTCTAGTTTCAAGTCTTCTTCAATACAGCATGATGTTCATTTAGTAAATGATGGTCCATTTAGAGTCAAACAGACCATAAAGTGGAGTATGCTTTAGGGCGGGCTTACTGTGATTGACAGGTCGCTGCCGCTACCAGAGACGTATACGGCGTCTCTACGTCACTCCTCTGCAATCGAAATATGGTAACCTCCATTCACCGGTTGTAAAAAGTCAAGATGGAAAAAGATGAAGCAGGACGAGTTCTACAAATTCCGAATACTGATCGGTTTGTGACATAAACAAATACTGAAAGCTTCGCGTCACATGGGAGCATTTGCATCTGACTTTATCTGGACCTTAAGGCTCACTCCTTGAAAATATTACTGAGATCAATTACACTCAACACTCCGTGTACATCATATGTAGACTAAGAGGTTCATTGTTTTGAACTTGTGTGTCTTTGTCCGGGCGTAGCTGCAAGTGTTGTGCACTCCGCTCTGCCCAATGCAGGGAGAACCCGAAGGCAGCAGTTGACCCCTTGTTCATTCGTTTTAAGAACACGTCTGTGGTAGTATTCATGCCCGGGTGATGTTAAACAGCACAGACAGTAAAGGGAAAAGAGGGAATCACATGTTTCGTCCTCCAGTGGTGTCCCACTTTACATGCAAACACAGGCAAATTCAAAGAATTCCAGCAATTAGAGATACCAAAGTATGGGTCCAGGAGAAATTTACACCTGAAGGTGATACCAGATAATATAGCAATGTTAATACAGTAGATGTAATACGGAAGACATGTTGCTTTGTATTTGACCTGTCTCTCTCCTATAGAACTTACTTGGTGAGTTTAATTTAGTATTATTTCATATAGATGTGCTGAATTGTACTGAACAACTTCACCTCCAGACACTCACTAGCTAAACTAATATTCTTCCACTAAAACAACAATTTCGACTTTAAATGGATATTCCACTGTGTGATGCCTTACAGCCATTCCGTATCAGCCCCACTTAACCTCGTTAAATTCCTATTTGGGTATTTGCAAAAGGCAAATACAACTATTTTTAGCCATGCTAGCTCTTGGGGCGGCAGTGTCGGTCGGGCCGCCACTTTGGTCCAGACTGAAATATCTAATATATCCTATTCATCATTGGCTGGATTTACATAAAATTTGGTAAAAACATTCATGTCCCCCTCTGGATGAATTACAATGACTTTGGTGATCCCCTAACTTTTCTTTTAGTGCCATCATCTGCTGTGCCTAAGTGCCGCCTCCCGGGGCCGCTAGCGTGGCTGTAGAATCGTAGTCTTGTTTAATCCTGTTTACAATGACACTAACAATATAATAGACTATTTCCTAACAAGCATTGCCGGCAGTGCTTTCTGTTAGCCTTGAATTTATCCCATTTGCTGATACATCAGCTCTTAAAAGGCAGTGTTTCTGTTTTCAATTACCTCCAAATGCCTTTTGTGAATTTTGCCTGTCATGGCTTTTACCCGAGAAGCAGATT